CAGTTAGGAAGTTTCTCCTGATATTTAACCGGTAACAACTCCCTTGTAATTTTCACCCATTAGATCTAGTCTTGCAATCAGGAGCAAGAGAGAATAGATAAGCTCCATCTTCTACATGATAGCCCTTCAAATACTTGAAGACTGCAATCATGTCCCCTCTAAGCCTTCTCTTTCCCAGGCTAAACAGACCCAACTCTTTCAGCCTTTCCTCATAAGACTTGGATCCCAACCCTCTCACCATCCTGGTTGCCCTCTTCTGGACACGCTCAAGCTTGTCAACATCCTTCCTAAAATGTGGTGCCCAAAACTGGACACAGGACTCCAGGTGAGACCTGACCATAGCCGAATAGAGTGGAACTACCACCTCCCGTGATCTGGACACAATGCTTCTGTTAATGCATCCTAAGATTGCATTAGCTTTCTTCACAGCCACATTGCACTGCAGGCTCATGTTTAGCTTGTGATCAACCAGAACACCTAGATCCCTTTTACATGTGCTGCTGTCAAGCCAAGTCCCTCCCATTCTGTCTGTGCCTTTGATTTTTTTGTACCTAAGTGTAGGACTTTGCACTTATCTCTACTGAAATTCATTTTATTTGTCTCAGCCCACTGTTCTAGCCTATCTAGGTCATTTTGAATCCTGACTCTGTCTTCTTCAGAATTAGCAATCCCACATAGCTTCGTGTCATCTGCAAATTTGGTATGTCTCCCTCCAGGTCATTTATAAAAACACTGAACAACACCGGGCCCAGGACCGAGCCCTGTGGCACTCCACTCGAGACTTCCCTCAGACAAAGCAAGCAAGAGGTTATTAAGATAAAAGAATTACAGAGCCTTGAAGACTACTATAAAACAATTCTTTCCTGCCATTTACATTATATTCTAAAAGTTTTCCACCTGTAAAATACTAAGCAAATCTTAGTGACTTTTTAATTATTCGAGTTTCACCCATTACATGAACTGAATTAAATTTAACAAAGTGGTTCCTGGGAGCTAGGTACTGGTCTCTATGGTCGGCATGTGGACAACAGCTCTGTGGAATATTTGCCTTTTTTTTCTACTGTACAAAGGTGACATCTAACGTCATAAGACTAACAACTTTTGAAATTCCCATCAGGATCAACTCATTTTCTCCATGTGGAACAGGGAAATGCTGCTGGAGACAAAGATCCCCTCCCCATTGGGTGCATAGTACTAGTTTGACTGTTCTTTGGATCCTGGCTATACATTACAAAACAATGAACAAAACAGGGAAAGGATGATGACTCTTACTGAAAAATCAACTCCATACAGAGACAAGCTCATTCTTTATTATTGTTGTTGTTGTTCAGTCGCACAGTCGAGTCCGACTCTTCGCGACCCCATGGACCAGATCACGCCAGGCCTTCCTGTCTTCCGCCGTCCTCTGAAGTTGGCTCAATTTCATGTTCGTTGCATCTATGACACTGTCTAACCATCTCATCCTTTGCTGTCCCCATCTTCTTTGACCTTCAATCTTTCCCAGCATCAGGGTCTTCTTCTCCAGTGAGTGCTCCCTTCTCATTTGGTGGCCAAAGTGTTTGAGCTTCAGTTTCATTATCTGGCCTTCCAGGCAACAGTCAGGGTTGATTTCTTTTAGGATTGGCTGATTTGATCTTCTTGCAGTCCAAGGGACTCTCAAGAGTCTTCTCCAGCACC